TCGCCTTCGTCAGAGCCTGGAAAGTTGAACCAAGTGAACCAACCATTCAAACGCCAGCGTTATAACTAACATGTTTCTTGGGCAATACAAACTAAAAACCTAACCAGAGTCGCGTACAGCCATGCTTACTTTAGAAAAATTCAAATTGGTGGTTTAGAAGACCACCCACTATGCTATACATCTTCCTCTTTATAGTGCTTAAGTGACCTGTACGGTGTCAGGAGTAATTTATCTGACCACATTTTTGCCATGCTGAGACGCTACATAGGTAAAACGGGACGCCATTTAGACGGATTTGATAAGGAGCATTATTAAAAGAGGGAAAGGTATATTATTGCATAATGGGTGGTTTACTCCCAGCTTGTGCTTTTCTAAAGTGTGGCTATGGGTGACTCTGTAGATTTTTGGTTCGTATTTTCCAATTCAACTGTCTTTAATCATAACGTTGGCGTTTGAATGATGGTTTACATGTGTTCGACGTTCCAGGCTCTCACGAAGGCATAGTGCCGAAGCGTTGGCCCTCAATAAGGAAGGGTTAATATCTTGGTGCATGCTTAGCAGGTCGAAAGAGTTGCTATTTTCATGCGAGATTAATAAACGGTCGGACTTGGAAGACTAAACAGACGAACTCGAAAATTGATCTGTAAAAACTATTCGACATGTTGATTAAAATTACATATCCATTCTGCTTACTAACATGATTAGAAAGACGTTTCAATGATAGTGTAGCTACAATCAAAAAGAAATCATGGCAGTTGAATTAAGCTTTCTTATTCCTCAGCAAGCCCATAGTTCACAAACTTTCGAGCACATTTACAAATTTGACCTTGTGCCATAGATATCCCTCTAGAATAAAGTAAGTATTAGATTAGGAGGAAAATCTTATCTATTCTCAGTTTAGATACTCATAAGGTGTTCTTTGCGAGATATATGAGAGATGCTATGAACTCGGAAGAGTTATGCACACCTCTGGATCGGGATCGTTTTGCATAAAGTTAGCTTTGGGTGTTCAAGGACTCTTGTTGGTTAGTTGGTTAGCATAGCGTACCTATAGACCCTCTC